AGGGTCTGAGTAGGGTCCCCACTAGAGGGCGGTATGGGCCTCCCGAAAGGCCCACAGACACAAATTATTTTCCTAACATCTTCCTTTTCAGCTTTGCCCTGATGGGACCTGCTAATTAAGGATTGTGAAAACTTAGGCATTTGTAATCTAAAAATCTCACATTACTCAATATCTTCAAGATTCAGATTTGGCATTCTACTGAGATCCTGCCGGCTGCAGGATCGCAAAGCTCCCTCCTGAGGACAGACATGCAGACTGCTGGAATTCTCTCAATATCCAGGGCTTTTTGTTAGTAATCAGCAGCATTGATCTGAGGTGGTTGAGTTGCTATTCATGCTGTTTAATAAACTGCTAGCTTTGTTTCATTGTCTATTCAACATCACGTGGTTTTTTGATGACCCCCTTCAGGATGTTGTGATGCATTTGCATTAAGTCATTTAGCTTTGTGTTTTAAGTTTCTATCTTATTGTTAAACTGGATATATACACATCTGCCTGTGTAGTGACACTGCATTGGTGATGTTCTTTCAGAGACCAGAAGTTTGTTAAATAACTTGTAATACAATATCAAGACAAGTGTTGTAAAAGTATTACCTATTTTAAAGTTTATAGGGCATTGTTTTATAACTAAATGGGTAAACTCATATCTCTTATATGGCATGTATTACATATATAGTAATTCTAGCAATAACTTTTCTGCAACTTGTAATTTTGTCCTTTTTAATTCTATATTAACACCAATTCTTTTTTAGAGGAAGGCAATATGTATGGGTGAGTAAACTAGTGTCTGTGATCAAAATCATTTGGAAGATTCTGTTCTAAACACTTTGAGTGGATTATAAATATTTACCCTCACAATTCCTAAATATTACACAATAGCATCAAAATAATCAATATGAGGCTCTCTTTCCAATTTCTCACCTTGCTCATCCAAAGATCCTGGCTACTCAGATCTACTTCTATAAATGCAGTGCCTATCTATCATGTTTCATCCCAACCTCCCTTTAGGAATACATCAGTATGGATCCCAGGACACATCTCCTCATTATGTGATCATCCATTTCTCAGCCAGCACAGATGTCACTTTTTCAGAGAGGCCTTCCTAGAACATCCTGTTAATCTGTGTGTCATTCTCTGTCCTGTTTCACTCTTTATTTTTTTTAATGTTTTATTTCTGAGAGAGAGAGAGACAGCATGAGCAGGGGAGGGTCAGAGAGAGAGGAGACACAGAATCTGAAACAGGCTCCAGGCTCTGAGCTGGCTGTCAGGACAGAGCCCAACGCAGGGCTCGAACCCACGAACCGTGAGATCATGACCTAAGCCGAAGTCAGACGCTTAACCGACTGAGCCACCCAGGTGTCCCAAGTCCTATTTCACTCTTTATTTTCTTCAGAGCAATTATCAGTGTATGAAATCATCAGTTTGTTACTTTAGAAGATTAACCTTCTCCTGTCTGTCTTGTTTATCCCCAACACTTAAATATCTATTACATAAATAAGCACTTAGTAAAGATTGAATAAATGAATGAATGAATGCTTTACTTGTTTCATTCATTCCATGTTGCTGTTCTGGGGACCAGATGGTCCATAGGGGCAGAAGCTCTCATTTGAGCCTGATGGCCTGCTCCGTTTATAGGAGCTCCACCTACCCTCTGATCAGCAGGGGTTATCAGCTACCCCATTCTGTGTTTTCATCTTTAATTGCAGAAAGCGAAACAGGGCTGCTATTCTTCATTGTACTCCCCTGAGCTCCTCCATGGGAAACTGTCCAAGGCTCTGGGAACTACTTATCTTAGGTATACTGTCTCAATTCCCATCTCCTAATAAGGATCTCTGAACTGACCTGACTGGCAAATGTTTCATATAGTTAGAGGTGGTGGAAACTATGTCTGACTTGAAGTTGTGGGTGATTTCCAACTCAAGGAAGCATGCAGAGCTGACATGGGAGTCATGAGTGGGGAGCTGCAGTCCATGGGCCCCTGGTGGGTCATATGATGGAAGAGATTCAGGGACAGACATTAATGAAAACTGAATATATGGAGCCAGGAGTCAGAGTCAGGGAGATGGCGGCATGGAGCAGGGGAATAAGAGGGAAGTGATGGGCACAAAGAATTTTGCGGTGGGGCTATTTATTTTTTGTTATTGTTTAGCAACTTTATTGAGATATAATTTACATACCATCAAATTCACTTAGTAGAGTGTACAGTTCAATGGTTTTTACTATACTTATGGAGTTAGGCAGTTACCACCAATTTACTTTTAGGACATTTTTATCATCCCCCAAAGAAATACTGTACCCATTAGTGTCATTCCTTATTTACCTGTCCCTTCCTCCACCAAGTCCTGGCAACCTCTAATCTACTTCCTGTCTCTATAGATTAGCATATTCTGGATATTTCATTTAAGTGGAATTACATAATATGTGGTCTCTTGTAACTGACTTTTATATAGCATTATGTTTTCAAGGTGTATCCATGTTGTAGCATGTCTGAGTGCTTCGTTCCTTTTTATAACCAAATAATAATAATATTCCATTGTGTGGATATATGAAACTTTATTCATTGCTTAATAGACAGTTGGGTTGTTTTAGCTATTTTGAATAATGTTGCTATGAACATTGTGTACAAGTTTTTTTTTTTAATGTTTTATTTATTTCTAGGAGAGAGAGAGAGACGGCGTGAGCAGGGGAGGGTCAGAGAGAGAGGGAGTCACAGACTGAAACAGGCTCCAGGCTCTGAGCTGATATATGAAACTTTATTCATTGCTTAATAGACAGTTGGGTTGTTTTAGCTATTTTGAATAATGTTGCTATGAACATTGTGTACAAGTTTTTTTTTTAATGTTTTATTTATTTCTAGGTGAGAGAGAGAGACAGCGTGAGCAGGGGAGGGTCAGAGAGAGAGGGAGTCACAGACTGAAACAGGCTCCAGGCTCTGAGCTGGCAGTCAGCACAGAGCCCGACGCGGGGCTCGAACCCACGAACTGCGAGATCATGACCTAAGCGAAAGTCAGACGCTCAACCGACTAAGCCACCCAGGCGCCCCATGTGTACAAGTTTTTGTGTGGACATATGTTTTCATTTCTCCTGGGCATGTATCTAGGAGTGGAATTGCTGGGTTATAGCGTAATTCTATGTTTAACACTTTGAGGAGCTGATGAATGGTTTCCCAAGCACCTGCACTATTATGCATTCTAATGTGGGGCTATTTCTGGTAGATGATTTTATGAGTTTTTTTTCTGGACACCTGAGCCATCTGAGTACCATGAGAATGAGTGTGTTGTGATTCTGCCTGGAATCCACCGTTCAACTACTGCTGCACAAACGCCTGGGCCCCTGAGGCCCAACCTGCTTTGATTCTGCCCGCATGTAACTCCAGAGGTTTATTGTGATTAGATAGTCCCTGCAAGTCCTCCATCTGTTCATATATTAGTCATCCTTCAGAGCCCAAGTCAACACTGTCTCCTCCACTAGCTCAGTGGTTTCAACTCTGGCTCTGTATTAGAATCTCATGGGGAGCTTTCAAGTATACCAACTCCAGGGCCCACACCAAACGTTCTGATTTCATTGGTCTGAGAGAAGGCCTGGGGGCTAGGATTATTTAAAAGTCTCTTCAGATGATTCTAATGTGCAGACAGGATCGAGAACCATTGCTCTGGCTAGAAGAATCCTTCTTCTCTTAACTTTAGAGCAGTTTCTTTCTTTTTTTTTTTAATCTTTATCTCTTTTTTTAAGTTTGTTTATTTATTTATTTGGAGAGAGAGAGAGGGAGAGAGAGAGTGTGTGTGCAAGCAGGGGAGGGGCAGAGACGGAGACAGAGGGAATCCCAATCAGGCTTCGCACTGTCAGTGCTGAGCCTGATGTGGGGCTTGATCTCACGAACTGCAAGATCATGACTTGAGCTGATACCAAGAGTCGGACGCTTAACTGACTGAGCCAGCCAGGCGCCCCACGACAGTTTCTTTTTAACGGCACTCACCAAAACTTTAAAAACACATTCTATATTTAATTGAAATTATTTTACATATGCATTTTATTTCTCCAGCTGGGCCACAAGCCCTTTGAGCTTTAAGTCATCCTCAAGTGTCCGTTTGTCAAGGGACATTTGTTTATAGCACCACCTATGCTCTGCCTGGTTCTATTGTGGAATAATGCATAGGAACCAGCCAGGTAGGGAGTTATCATGAAGCCTCCCCTGGCCACCCACCTAAACTTGCAATCTCCTCCCCCATTTCCCATTCTTCCTTACCTAATTTGCTTCCCCGCCTTGGCACTGAGCATATACTCTATGTTTCACATATTTATCTTCTTTATTGTCAGTCTCCACACACCCTCAAGGTAAGCTCCGTGAGGGCAGTGATTATTGTCAGTTTGGCTCACTGCTGTATCTTCAACACTCAGAACAGTGCCTAGCACATGGTAGGTGCTCAATAAATGTTTATTAAAAGAATAAATTACTATGTTAGCCTATATTTAAAAAGAAGTTTAACCCCTTTCCTCTATTCCAGTCTATGAGTTATTATAAAGCCATCCTTTTCCACTGACAATTATATTTCTAACATAAACATGTATATTCTGAATTCTTATGTTTCAGAAATATAGTCCTATTTTTAAAAAAAAATTTAACGTTTATTTATTATTTAGAGACAGAGATATAGAGCATGAGTAGGGGAGGGTCAGAGAGAGAGGGAGACACAGAATCTGAAGCAGGCTTCAGGCTCTGAGCTGTCAGCCCAGAGCCCGATGCAGGGCTCGAACTCATGAAGTGTGAGAACATGACCTGAGCTGAAGTCGGACGCTTAACCGACTGAGCCACCCAGGTGCCCAAATATAGTCCTATTTCTAAGAGACGCTGCAGAGGTTTATTTAAGCCCTGGAGCCAGGTTCCTGGCATATTTGGGACTGTGTATGCAAATTGGAGCAGAGGAATGGACTCTGCAATGGTCAGTTGAAGCTGAGGAAACCTGAACACTAAGTTGCTCTTGCACGATTAGAATTCAGCTCCTAGGTGTTCCAGAGGATGATGACTGTGATAATGGAGGAGGCCAAGAAGAACAGATAGAGGCGGAAGAGGAAGGTGTCCATCATGTGGCTGAACTGCACCCACAAGTCAGCTAGCTGGGTGCTTGTCAATCCTGAGTCCCCATTCAGCTCTGCCTCTCTGGACCCCAGCTCCTTCCCTACCAGCTGCCCTGGCTCCTTCAGTCCTGTGGAGAAGACAGAGACTCACCTATAAAGTGGGAAGGAGACAAGATTGGGGAAGTGGTAACTGGGGACTCTATATACCCAGTGTAGAGAGTATGGGTAGTGCAGATTTTCCTTACCAGGCAGGTGAGTGGGCATGAGGCCTGGGCCGGTATTCTCCTTCTGGAGTGCAGTGGGGCAGGACTTCCATGGGGTGGTGCAGTGGAGGAGCAGAGAGTAGAGCCACCGAGGCATGGGTGGGGGCTGGGTGGTGGCCATGTGCAGCAGGTAGGTGATGAAGATGGTCTCCAGCAGGCTGACCACCATCAGGGACAGACACAGGGCAAAGTAGACACCTGGGATAGGGGTAAGGATCATGCATGATTGAGGCCCAGAAGAACCACCAATCCCCCCTTTTCTCCGTCACAAACAGAGCCCTTTCTGAGATGACTGCTTTCTCCTTTCTGCCTTAGCTGCCTTGGCACATCTAGCCAGTGTACCTGCCTACCCTGCCTCCTTTCCACCCCCCCCCCCCCACTTTCCAATGGTGAGGAAGTGGGCATACTGATGAGGGGAGTGCCACTAGCTGGAAGTAGTTTATTCATCATGAGCAGGAAGACATTGTATCCCAGCAAAAGTGTTATCTTGAATGGGGCACAATTCTCGCTTTCTGCTGGCAGATAGAAGCTGAGGGCGTCAATGGAAATCAGAAAACTGCTGGGCACCAGAAGGTTTATGACGTAGAGGCTGGGCCTGCGCCTGATGGCCACCTAGGGGGAGGAGAGAGCAGAGAACCAAGTGAAGCTAGGACTGAAGGGGAACAGGGATGATTCCAGCCCCTTCCTTCCTTAATGTTCTCAATCCAACAGGGGCTCTTTCTGGGGCTGGATGAGAAGCGGCTTTCACATGACTAAAAGACTTTCCCATACCTACCAAAGAAGACTTATGCCAGTGCTTGCAGGCTCAGAAAGGGAAATTGTTTGGGGGGACTTGGGAGAGGGGAAGGAGTGAGAAGCTCTGTGACTTAAGAAGGTCTGATGAGGGAGGTAAGGGCGACAGACACATCTCACAGTCTCTGGGCTTACATAGAACATGATCTGGTCGAAAAGACTGGAGCCCACAGACATCTTTGGGGTGGCCTTGTTGATGCCCAGGAGCTCCCATTCCCCTTGTGTGCGGACGATGTCACGTGACGTGTCTGCTATCTCCCACACTTCCTTTTCCATGCCCAGCAACATATTTTCCACTGCAGGGGAGACAAACATTCATTCAACACTCTGTTTAGCACCTGCTCTGTGCAGGGCTCAGAGAAATGAACTAGAAAACTGTAGTGACTCTTTCTGGTTGCCCCATAACATGGCTTGCTCACTCCTCAGTTTCCTCTTTTCAATTTTGGGCTTTCTCAGAAGTCTTATCTCCTCCTAGGGTTAAAACCCCCACCCCACACCCACACTCCCCTTTTTAGACATTACAAAGAATAAATTTGCCTGTGTGTGCTGTTTTGTTGTCCACTGGTTGATCTCATTTTATCCCATCCCAGAACCTTCACTGCAACTCACCTGTGTAGAGGAAAGAGCTAAAGGTGAGTGTGCAATTCTGCTGGTCAAAGGGGAAGTAGAATATGTCCAGGTTACAGATGCTGGTCACCCGCATTGGTTTATTATACACAATGTGACCGTCATTAGTCAGATATGCAGAGAGGCCTTCTGGGGTCTGATCCACATCCATGCTAAGTGACAGAAGGGGAGAGAGGCAGATGTTCTGGGTTTCACATCAACTTAAGTTTCTCTTTCTCTCTTTTAGAGTAGGTTCCATGCTCAGCATGGAGCCAATGTGGGGCTCGATCCCATAACCCCGGGATCATGACCTGAGCCAAAATCAAGAGTAGAACGCTTAGCTGATTGAGCCACCCAAGCGCTCCAGCTTACGTTTCTCTCTTAAGGTGGGGCTTCCCAATGTTACTCATTGTGGCCATTCCGCCATCTTTCCTGCCTACCACTTTTTTATTTTTGTGGGAGAAGTTGGTGAGCCATGAGTGTGCTTCTCTCTGAAATAACTTTTGGTGGCCCCCAGAATTGGTTTGCCCTACACCGTCCTGGCCTGCTACTTGCAGAAGGATCTCTGCTCCAGTATTCCTTAGCCCCGGCACCCACGATTCCACGATGAAGATGTCTGGGAGCCACAGGTTCTCAGTTGTCACAGCGAGTTTACTGATAGCACCACATTTTTCTGGATCCCAGCTGATGAATGGGTTAGTCCAGATCTAGAGCACAGAGCACAGAAGGTTGGTTATGGCTGATACCTGGAGCTAGTTTATGTCAGCATCTACCCTTCCATTCCTTTTAATATATATATTCATATGTATGGATTTTCCCCCTAAATGTATATACTACAGGCATAGGATAAAACTTTAACCATTCCAGAAAGTATAATATAAAAAACAAGCTTCTCCTTTCTCAATTCACTCCAACTCCGTTCATATCCCCAACTCAATCTCCTTTTTAACAGTTTCTTGGGTATCTTTCCAGAAAATAATATATATTCCAGCATTCATTTTTATTTACACAAATAAACTTATACTTTGCACATTGTTATGCATGTTGCTTTTTTTTTTTTAATTTCTTTTAAATTCTGATTCTTTTTCTCTTCCTGGTAATAAGGTCCCCCTTCTCTAGCTAACAAAGTCTTGGCTTTTCACCTCCTACTCAAGGGAAATCTTTATTATTTATTTTATTTTTATTTTTGAGAGAGAGAGAGCTTGAGTGAGCAAAGGGCAGAGAGAGGGGGAAAAAGAGTGGAGCCTGGCATAGGGCTCGAGCTCACAAACCAAACTGAGATCATGACCTGAGCTGAAGTCAGATGCTTAACCAGCTGAACCACCCAACCACACCACACCTTCAATCCCACCCACCCCCCCATCCCCACCACACACACACTCAAGGGAAACCTTAAGCTGGGTACTGGATACCTTTGGGCCCTGAAGCTTATTGCACCACCACCCCGCTTCCTATATTTTCCATTGATACCTTTCAAAGTTCTTTGGCAGCTCAAAAAGCTATTTGTCATCATCATGGGCCCTATTTTGGTTGGACTTATCTATTCCCTCTGACACTGCCAAATGTGATTTTTGCAAACAAGGCCAGAAAAAAGGGAAAGAAAAGAGAACAAAGCTGGAGTTACATACCAACTTTAACCACAGAAATGATGTCAGCAGCTGAAGTTGTGCATCCTGACAAAAAATGTCCCCATTCAGAATGATTAATGTCCTGAGATTAGGTCTCAGTCTATCTCTTGCCTTTGTTTCCTACATGGTCCCATGTGTCAGCTTTCAGTCACTGGTCTCTAAAAAAAGGTAAGCCCAAAAAATGCAGGTTGCATGGCAAATGTAGGCGGAGAAACCAGCATGGGGCCCATTGGAAATATGCTTTCTTCTCTGCCTATAGGGGCAGAACTCCGAACAAATGTTCCCTGCAGAAATGTCACTGCAGTGTTCCCCTTCATGTCTCTCCAGCCCATAGGATGGACATCTAACCTGTAGGGCATTCGAGGACTGATTGCTCACCAGTGGACCAGTGCAAGGTTGGGTTACCAGGGTGAAGACTCCTTGTTCCCTACTAGCAGCCTATGGAAAGAACGTAGAACTCACCACGTCCAGGATGGCAGACACAGTGAAGGAGATGTTGACCTGAGTGGGGATGCTGTAGTTGATGACTGGACGGAAATCCTTCTGGCTAAATATAGTCTGGAAGACAGCAGGGTCCACCCCATGCCGGTCAAAGCCTGAGCAGTTGATGGTGAAAGTGTCTGACCTTCCTGCAGAGAGCAGAGACCCCGTGAGGTGGGATAGGGCTTTTGTGTTTCCTAAGTGAGAGGAGTACCAGCACTGAGGCCTGAGAACCTCTCTGCAGAGAAAGAAAACATGGACATGGCTTGAGGCACGTGAGCCCCTCTTTCTCAGCCAAGACTTACAAAGGCCAAGCCCTTCCTGCCAGGTTTGGGGAGGATGTGCTGGTCTGGTAGGCAAATAGTGGAAGTTGATGTGGTGAGCTGAACCTGGGCCCAGCCCTTTCTTCCTGTGCTTTGCTCCCATAGAAAGCCCACTCAAATTCATATGCAAACAGCCTCTCTGGGGAGTCCTATGCTTCCTGTTAGTCCCAACCCTGAAGTTTTGGCTTTTGTCTGACCATACATTTTTCTTTCGAGCTCTATTATGATTCATTCTCATAGTCACCGAATAAAATTTCCCTAATAAAATTTCTTAATTTCCTCTTCCCACTTTTACATTTTCCCATTTCCTGTAAGGAAAAGTTTAGAAAGAAGTAAATCATAAGTACATCATGACTGTGATGTAAAATACGTGGGGACTTAACGTTGCACTAATGTGAATTTATCAGCTACCTACTATGTGCTGTGCTCTGTGCCCTTCTCCAATTCAGCGACTTCCTCAAAGATCTGGGGGAGCCATTTTCATCATCACTATTTTGAGACGATTTCATTGATCATCTGCTGTGTGCTTGTTGGAGATGTACAGTGAAATGTAAAAGCCCTTCGGCCCCCTTCACCTGCATCCCAGCCCCAGATGACTGTGGTTATTCCTGTAACTACAGCCCAGCAAGTTCTTTCTCGTGCCTCATCCATTACCTCCCCATATCAGCTAACTCATAAGGTGCATCTCCAAACCAAAAAGAAACATATCCCAGGGGAAGAAAGTGTTGCCCTTTCCCCTCCACATCACCTCCTCTGCAATATCTTCCTGAGTGAGATGGGAAAGGAACTATGTTATTGCCAATAGGACCCACATCATTCTGTTCAGAGTTATTATATCTTGGTAGAAAGGAAAAGTTGGGCACTATAAAGGGGTGGGATTTGGAGAGGTGATAAATGGAAGGATAGACAGTTTAGTAGATGCCTAGGCAGGCAAATGAGAGAGGGGTTGTGTATACTGATACGTGAAATGGGTTTTTCATCGGTTTCCAAGGAAGCCAAAACATAGATACTACAGAGAAAGGAAATGTTTAACCCAGCTATTTTAGATGCTCTCTAGTTCTGAAGAATGAGAGGGTTTCTGGATTTTATCCAGAACAGCATTTCCATCTTGCCCTGTTCTTGCCCCATCTTACCTGGAAGCAGAAGGTTGACAGTGAGGTAGAGGAGGAATCTCCCCCCTGCAGGCCAACCCCTTTCCATCCTCCTCTTCTGGACTCTTCTCTGGGGACTCAACAAGAGCCCCCAAACCCTTGAGCTTAAAGGAGTTCAGACCACACCTTGGTTCCTGGTTTTGAATAGTGCGCATGACAGGTAACCACTCCCTGGTGAGAGGCTGTGGCCAGAGAGGTCACAGCAGAGTGTCCTGCTTTGCCCCTGTGTAAGTATGCCTTCCGGGCTCCAGGCTGGGGGGAAGTAAGACCAAAACCAGGGGAAAAGCACCTGTTTAGCAGGATGAATGGTTTGAAATCTGAGTTCCAAGTATCATTCAGAAAATGGAGTGACTTGAGAGATGGGCTAGGTAAGGCCATGGATAAAGGTCTCATCAGGTCCTCCTGGAAGTAACTTGTGCCTCAGGGAAAGTGCATGGACCACTCAGAAGGGGGTGTGGTGGAGATGCCTGCTAATTTTGGGAGATGAGAACAAGTAACTATTTTGTTGCAGACTTGGAAACATATCCTTTACCCACTTATGGACATTTGGAATTAATGTCAATATTTAGCTAAAAATATGGAAAGAGTAAGCTCCTTTTTATGGGACAGAATCCTGGCTAACATATGACCGTCCCCATGGCCATCACAGCTAGTATGATCTGCACCATCCCTTTGTTTGCACTCTTGGGGCAGTTTATTTTTTTTAATTTTTATTATATATATATATTTTTTCTTAAATAGTTTATTGTCAAGTTGGTTTCCATATAACACCCAGTGCTCATCCCCACAAGTGCCCTCCTCCATGCCCATCACCCCCCTCCCCTCTCCTCCACCCCTATCAGCCCTCAGTTTGTTCTCAGCATTCAAGAGTCTCTCATGGTTTGGGGCGCCTGGGTGGCTTAGTCGGTTAAGCGTCCGACTTTCGCTTAGGTCATGATCTCGCGGTTCGTGGGTTCGAGCCCCGCGTCGGGCTCTGTGCTGACTGCCAGCTCAGAGCCTGGAGCCAATTTCAGAGTCTGTATCTCCCTCTCTCTCTGACCCTCCCCTGCTCACGCTGTCTCTCTCTCTCTCTCTCCTAGAAATAAAATATATATGTATATATATAAAAGAGTCTCTCATGATTTGCCTCCCTCCCCAACTATTTTTCCCCTTCTTCTCCCCCATGGTGCTCCGTTAAGTTCCTCCTAATCCACCTATACGTGCAAACATGTGGTATCTGTCCTTCTCTGCCTGACTTATTTTGCTCAGCATAACACCCTCAAGTTCCATCCACATTGCTGCACATGGCCAGATTTCATTCTTTCTCATTGTGGGGCAGTTTCTTTAAAACGTTTCCTCTGCCTGGTTTATCCCTAGTCTAATTCTTCATTTTGCCATTCTCCTAAAACAGAGCTCTCCTGCTCATGCTTCCTTACCCTAATGTCTCTAAAGCCCTGCAACCCTGGAGCCATGCAGGAATGTGTGAGTAAAAAATCATTTTATGAACTTTTTGAAAATACTTGCACTCCTGCCCACCCACCCCTATGGAACGGTATGTATATATTTATTTAAAAACCCTTTTTTTAATGCTTATTTGTTTTTGAGAGAGTGAGAGGCCAAGCATGAGTGGGGGAGGGGCAGAGAGAAACAGAGAGACAGAATCCGAAGCAGGCTCCAGGTCCTGAGCTGTTCATAGGAGAGCCCCATGCGGGGCTCAAACCCACAAACCATGAGATCATGACCTGAGTGGAAGTCGAATTTGGAAGCTTAATCACCTGAGCCACCCAGGGCCCCAGGGTATATGTATATTTAAAAGCTCCCCGGGATGGTTCTGATTCAAACTCACTTCATTGAAAACCTTTGGGCTGGGCTGTGTTACCATACCACAAACATGATACTGATATAGATATAGTCAAAATATAGAGCTTTATGCTGTCCTTTTTTTTTTTTTTAAGTTTTATTTATTTATTTTGAGAGAGAGGATCCCAAGCAGGCTCCACTCTGTCAGCACGGAACCCCATGATGTGGGTCTCAATCTCACAAATTGTGAGGCCATGACTTGAGCTAAATCAAAAGTTGGACACTTAACCAACTGGCTACCCAGGTAGCCAACAACCCTTATGTTGTCTTTTTATAGCTATAACCGCCTTCTTCCCTCTCTATTTCCCTCCACCCCACTGACTGGCAACCATTAATTTGTTCTCCATTTCTATAGTTTTGTCATTTCAAGAAATTTATAGAAATCAAATTGCCCAGAATAAATCTTTTGGGACTGGTTTTTTTCCTCCTCAGTGTAATTCGCTGGAGATCTGCCCAGATTATGATATGTATCAGTATGCACTCCTCTTTACTACCCACTGGTATTCTGTGGTGGGAATGTCCCACAATTTGTTCAACCAATCACTTGTTGAAGGACTTCTGAGTTTTAAAGGAAAATACTTTTTCTTCTACTTTACTCACAACATTTCTGATGCCAAATTGTTGGCTTTTCCTTTACAACAAGTAATTCTGACACTAACCGCCCAGAGTTAGTGCATAACCCCGTGGATTGAGGGGTAGTCCCACAAGACTGACCCCCCACTTCAGATGCCAATCGCAAGTCAGGGCCTCCTGAACTTCTGACTGACAATAAATTGGGGATTCCCATAGTGCCCTCCTCAGATTCAATAATTTGCTATAACAGCTCATGAACTCATGGAAACATTTACTTCTCTTTACTGTCTGAAAGGATGTAATAAAGGATACAGATGAACAGCCAGAGGAAAAGGTACACAGGGCAGGATCTGGAAGGGTCCTAAGAGCAGGGCTTAGTGGAGTTTCAGCAGTTAATGTGTCACCAATCTGGAAGGTCTCCAAACTCCATAGTTTAAGGATTTTTTATGGAGGCTTCATCATGTAGACATGATCAATTTAACTCAATCTTCTTAAAGAATGGGAATTGGGGCTGAGAATTCTAAGCTTCTGATTGTGGCTTGGTCTTCCTGGTGACCAGTCCCCATCCTGAAGCTACCCAGGAGGCCATCACGAGTCACCTCATTAGAACAAAAGATGCTCCTCTTATCTAGGAAATTGCAAGAGATTTATAAACTCTGTGTCGGGAACTGGGAGCAGAGACCAAATATATATTTCTTCACAGAGTTGTTTGCAATTTTTGTCTATTATACATAAAGCTGTTATAAACATTTGTCTACAGGTTTTTGTGTGAACATAAGTCTTCTGGAATAAATACTCAGTAGCACAATTGCTAGATTGTAAGGTATTTGCATGTATAGTTTCTAAAGAAACTGCAATACTCGTTTCCAGAGTGGCAGTACCATTTTACATTCCTGCCCACAATGTATGAACAATCCAGTTTCTCTGCATTTTTAAGGGGTTAGAACTTTGGATAAGGAAGGATTTCTTAAAATAGAACTCTAAAATCACAAAGGAAAAGATTGATAAATTCAGCAATTAAAAAATTGTTAGGCTTATTTTCAATAAAGGGCACTAAATGTGAAAAGTCAAATCATAAACTGGGAAAATATCTTTGCAACACATATAACTGAAAAAAGAATAGTAGAAAATATACAAAACATACATATAAATGCATAACAATGATTAAAAAAAAAGCCCAATCAGAAAAATGGACTACATAAATTGACACTTTATAGAAGAAGAAACACAAACAGCCAACAAACAATGAGAAGATATTCACATAAATACAGAGAATAAACTGCTGGTTGCCAGAGGGGGTAGCTGTGGAGGGATGGGCAAAATGAGTGACGGGGAGTGGAAGTTACAGCCTTTAGGTGTGGAATGACTAAGTCACAGGGATGAGAGGCACAGCATAGGGAATACAGTATTGTAACAGTGTTGTTTGGTGACAGATGGTAGCTACATTGGTAGTGGGCACAGCATAATGTGTTGAGTGTCAAATCACTATGTGGTACACCTAAAACTGATGTAACAGGGTGTGTCAGCTATACTTGAGTTAAAAAGAAATAAGAAGGGACACCTGGGTGGCTCAGTTGGTTGAACAACTGACTTTGGCTCAGGTCATGATCTCGAGGCTACTTCCTCAGGCTCTGTGCTGACAGCTTGGAGCCTGGAGCCTGCTTCGGATTCTGTGTCTCCCTCTCTCTCTGTCCCTCCCCCACTTATGTTCTCTCTTTGTCTCTCAAAAATAAATAAACATTTTAAAAAAAAGAAGAAAATAAACACTGAGATGTGAGAAGTTTGTGAAGATACCCCTGGATACTGCTAATGAAAGGAGAGAGTGGGAAGCTAGTAGAAATGACAATCTGAGAAGTTATAAGCATAATCAAACATTTGAGGTGAGTAGTATATCCAGGGCCAATGATCTGGTTTTTACACAGTTCATACATTTCCAAGGCATACTCGTTTTTTTTAAGTTTTTAAAAATTTTTTATTTATTTTGAGACAGACAGAGTGAAAGCAAGGGAGGAGCAGAGAGAGAGAGGGAGAAACAGAATCTGAAACAGGCCCCAGGCTCTGAGCTGTTAGCACAGAACCCAATGCGGGGTTCGAACCCACAAACTGCGAGATCATGACCTAAGCCAAAGTCAGCCGCTTAACCAACTGAGCCACCCAGGCAACCCTACAATGCATACTCTTAACAGAGGTTTACCATAGAAACTGGAGGAAGATGAAGTAAAGGTATTATCACAAAGGCTGCTATTTGTATATATGTTAAGTGGGAGAAAGGATATCAGAAGCCAGAAGCACCCCCTCTGAAATTGTGAAATACTCCTAACATTCCTGATACATGTCTAGACTAGTACTGGCTTAAAATGTTTTGCTTCGTTTTTAGGTTGTGTTTTAAACCACAAGGCTCACCTCAACTCTAACATATGAACAGGATGTTCTTTTGCAAAGGATATTGCCAGTTTTAATGGTCTTGGCACTGAAAACCCAAAGTCACATTTCTATGAGGGAAAAATTGCCAAATGGCATCTAGAGAAATATAAATGTGGAGATGGGAAAGGAAAAAGAAATGATGCAAAAGTCATCTTAAGAAATTGGGAATTCCTCAAAGATATGGCAAACTCTTCATTTTACATTTTTGACAAA